TGTGTGTGTGTGTGTGTGTGTGTGTGTGTGTGTGTGTGTGTGTGTGTATATATATATATATATATGATCATTGTTGGTTTCTTTTATTTTTTAAAATAGTACTTGAAGAAACTCTTAGTAACAGTCATTAAATTGTTTTACTTACATATTTTAATACTTTTTTGCTTTCAGAAGAAAAGCAAAGATATTTTTATTAGATCGGTTCATATTTTCTTATAGCTAAGTGGTCAGGGGTGGGATTTTCAGGGGTATTTAAGTAAACCGTGATTCTAGGAAGCAGTGATGGGAAGAAGTTCTTGAATAAGTAATAGACAACTAATCTAGAAAACACAAAATTCAAATGAAAGATGTTGATTTTTCTCCCTTACGTGTTTGTTACATATGAATGAGCTGTCACTCAGGCTGTGTGCAGAAGTCGGACAAGAGAATGTGACTTATTAGTTTGAAGCTTAAAGCAAATACACAGTCATTTAGGGAGTTGTTGGGGGAGAGGTTTGAAGTGGGAAGGTTATGCAAGAGAAGAAAGAATGGCAAGTTAAGATTGTGCTATGTGTAGCAATGAGGAATATAGAATATGAATAGGAATATAGGAATATTCCTATAGAGGAATAGAATATAGGATAGGAATATGGCTTTCTAAAAGAAAATGCTAATGAGGCATAAAACAATAAGTCATTTGCTATAAAAAATAGACTCATATAATTGCTGCTTAGTTTTATGCTATGCTTCTACGAAGAAGAGGAGATGTGGCCAGCAATCACTTACTCCAAAAAACAATATCATGCAATAATCCATCAAAGGGAAAAAGAAAAGCGTCTCATCATGGTTTGGGTTCCTGTTCATCTGGCATTCTGTTCCTCTTCCCACATTTGAAGCACTCCCTCAAGCTGCCAGCTGGGATATTGTGACTGAGAGCCGAGCACACAAACAATTATACTTTGTGACATTTGATATAACAGACCCAGAAGGATGGGAATGGATTTAGAAAAAGAGTATGTGGCCAGCTGAAGCCACTTGGAAGGTTAGGTAGGGAAAGATCAGAAAATGGGGCCTTGGCAGATTCATTTGTAATGTGTCTAGAGTCAAGATCCAAGAGACCAAGGATTCAATCTCGATATAATGGTAGTATTGCCATTTTGGAGATGGAGTCTCATGGTCTAGAGGAGGAGTCACGTCGTTGCCAGGTCTACCCGGCATCAGGCTCTGCTCTCTCTCTTACCTACCTCAATAAGGATGGCAAATGCTTAATGCAAGTTTACTAGTCCATCCACCTAAGATTTGTATCCCATAAACTGGACTGAGAATCACAAAGTGCTTCCCAGGGGGATGTAAATATCTCTATTTGTGCTGTGGACTGGTGACCCAGGTGATGGTGTGCTCTAGGCAGAGGCAAGTAGAACTCTGTTCTACAAAGAAAGTTCCAGGCCAGCCAGGGCTACACAGAGAAATTCTTTCTTGAAAAAAAAATATATTTGCACAGATGAGTGGCCCCATGGCTTTTGTGGTATTTCCAGCATTCTATTACAGATCTTTTAATTGTTCTGCTGGTCTGAATTCTCTTGCTTCCTTGCATATATATAGTATGTCAATATTAAATTTTTTTGATTTATATAAAGTTTGGCTTTCATAACTCTAATTTCCTCTTTCCTTCTTCCTTTTCTGGTACGATCTTTCTTGGTCTTTTCTATTCCTTGCCCAACTTTACCTACTATAAATAAAAATATTCTCAGCATTCTGTCACCCCCTCTGTCTGTATCTCTCTCTGTCTCTCTCTGTGTCTGTCTCTGTCTCTCTGTCTCTCTATGTCTCTGTCTCTTTCTGCCTCTGTCTCTCTGTCTCTCTCTGTCTCACTATCTCTGTCTCTCTTTCTCTCTGTCTCTCTCTGTTTCTTTATCTCTCTGTCTGTCTCTGTCTCTCTGTCTTTCTCTGTCTCTCTGTCTCTGTCTCTCTGTCTCTGTCTCTCTGTCTCTATGTCTCTCTCCCTCTCTCCCTCCTTCCCTCCCTCTCCTGCCCCCCTTTGGATGATTCTAGTGGCTTCTATGTGTGTTGGCTTGGATGGTAGACAGGAACTGAGCACCACTGGTCATGTTTACTCTCCCCAATATGAGAACTCTTCTAACCTACAGATGTGTTCCAGTTCATCAGATCAGATTACATGTAGAAATGACAGATGTAGGCCTGAAAGGCATCAGAGGATCATCCTCTTACATCCATCTCTATCCCAACCAACTTCCTACCTTCCTAAATTCCCACAACTGTTTCTCATTGCATGCCTCACAGCTCCCTAAAATCCCCCTTCATGCTCTCCATTCCTATCATGGGAAATAGAAACTCTCTTCGTAATTAAAATCTGGCTCAATTATAATTCTCCAGTGGTTTCTGTTACTTTCTACACTAAACTCAAAATATCACACTTTTCTTTTTTAGTATGACAGCATCCCTTGGCTTCAACAATCTCAGGGTTCTCTTGGCTCATCTCCTTTCTACACCACAAAATCCCAGGTCTACCTCATTTCCTTCCCATAGACGTTGCATATGTCTGTGTGGTCAATAGATTTTGCATCATCTTACCAATCATTTCAGATTGTAAACTTCTCTTAAGTTGTTTGCCTCCGTTTCTCTTTCCACAAAGCTCACTCTTTGTACGTGTCTTTATAGATACTGTATTCTCATATTACTGACCCATTCCTGTCTTTCTATGTGAAGAACTGTTCTCCCATTTTTAAACATTAAAGTATTCCCTAATCATTAAAAAGATAGTTATAGTAGCAAGTACTTCTACTACTTGAAAATCTTTCCCAGAAGCTGTGGGTAATCTTTACATGCTGTAAAACAAAATATATAAAAATGATGTCATTTTACATTTATAGTTATACATGTAGTGCCAAACTTCTTTCTAGATAATGAACTTGACTGCTTTTATTATTACATATTTACTATTATAATATGTATCAAAATATAATTGTATATACATATGTGTATATAATTATATACATATATAGTCAATATATCATTATATAATATATAATATATAATTATAATATATGTATATATGCATATAATTATACAGCATATATACTTATATAAATACATATAATGATTATAATTATGTATATAAGTATATAGAGTATAAATATACTTAGCATATACAATTATATACAATGTATTATATGTTATCATTGTATATTTCTTACGACAAATATATTGCTTCCTCCTACTGGCAACAGATGAGCAAACAAAGTTTTCATGGTCCACACTTTTCAACGTGATGCATTTTTATTCTGTGTTCATGAATCCAGTGTCTTTTTGTCTTTCCCTTCCATTTCACATATCACAGCCATGCACTGGCTCCCACTACAAGAAGATCCTTATTATTTTCCCAGATATATCTTACAGTTGTACTTTCTAACTTTGACTTTTGTTCTTCATACTTTGACCATTTTTTGTTCTCCTTGTATTCTGCTGTCTAAGCCTACGACAGGCTTCTTTTAATTCTCAGTGTGCTGTCTCATGAGTTTTACTTTCTGTATGATATTGTGGCGTTCTTATTGACTTGGCTGTCTGCTAATCTTCTGGATGTTCTTGAGACAAAGAAACGGGGACTCGGAATTCCCAGTGCCCTTGTACCTGGCACGTGATAAAGATACGTTGAAACAATGAATAACTTCAAACTTACCAGTTGGAGTTTTGTTTATTATTCACGATTCATCTCATAGGCCATCTCCCCATAGCTCATCAGAAAACTTAAGTGAAGATCACTCAGGGCCTCTGCTGCTCCACTGCCTTGCTTTGTCTACTCGGCTGTTAGTTCTCTAACTTAGCTTCATAGATAGAGTGAGGAAGCATCCAGCATGTGTGGTGCATGTGTTTACCTGACTGACAGAAATTGGGATCGCGGAATTGTTTTAACCCTGAGCAAGATTTACAAATTGAAAATGGCATTATAAATATGCAAATCGTATGGAAATGTTCCAACTGATTAGGATAATTCTAAGAAACCTAATTTTGCTCCTGACCTACCCATCTGCAGGAACTGTCAATCAGAGAACTGGTTATCATATTTAGGTTCAAAGTTATTAGACAAGAATAATGCCTGAAAAATGAAAGGAAGCACAAGATGTGCCATGTGTGGATGTTAAATGGTCCTGTGAAATACGAGAACGGCTTTCTGTGTTTAAAATTGCAGCAGTCACCTGCAAGCTATAAACAAATATCTCCTTTTTTATCTGAGTACTGAGGCTATGTTGTTAGATTCAACTCATCTAAATAATTCAAGTCAATATGTTGGGAGTGTATTAGGAACCTAAAAAAGCGTCATTTTGGCTTTATTCTATAACTGAAACAAATTCGGTAAAAATCTACACCATTGAAACATCAAAAACAAAAAGGCATCTTGATATTTATAGCTGACCATGAGGGTTCCTACCTAGAACTCATCTGGCTTTCCTTCTGAGGGGGAAGGAAGGTACCCATGCTCTTAGTCTGAGATAGCCTGTGGCAATAGCCTACCTGCTTTCCTGCCCCTCTTTTTATTTTAAATGTGAGCCTTTCCATTTTAAGTTTGCTTTGTGCATTATTTCCAGAAAGTATTCTTATAAATATTGGAGAAAAAACTGAATGAAAGACACAGTATGCTCTTTCTCAAAATGTGAATCACTTGCATGAGCTGGGGACTCGTGACTGATGGGTTCGTTCTGTGTCTTTAAGGAATTGCAGCAGTATCTTGCCAACCTGGCTGAGCAGTGCAGTGCAGACAATAATGGGGTAGAGCTCCCTGTTGTCATAATTCTGGATAATCTTCACCATGTGGGCTCTTTGAGTGATATCTTCAATGGTTTTCTCAATTGTAAATACAACAAATGGTAAGCTCATAAAATAACTGGTATAATCAAGTGTAGCTAACAGTGACATCATTTACTTTTTAATATGTTTTTATGTTTTAATACCTGTAGTGGATATCATTAGTATAATAACATCTAGTGATTTCCTATATCACTACATAATCTGTATGTTTGCTTTAGAGTATCTATTTATCCACAGCTATGTTCCAAGAAGAATTTTTGCTTTGTTCATTTGTTTGATTGGTTTTGTTGCTGTTTTGTTTTTTTGTTGTTATTTAGAGACAGGGTCTCATTATATTAACCAAGTTGGCCTCAACTCCCCAAGTGATCCCCCTGCCTCAGACTCCTCACAACATTGTACCTGGTCATCAGGAACTTTTATGAAAACATTATGCCTTATTTGGTGATGTTAGTTTCCATAGAAACACTGGAAGTCTACAAAACCCATATGGATGGTAGGATACTTGACTAGGATATGTAATAACTAGAAGAAGATTTTAAAGTTCTCTATGCTTTTATTCCACCTCTACCAAAGTAACAGTTCAACTTTTCTCTAGAGATGAAGTTAATTCACTCAGATATAGCTCCCTCCAATAATGTAAGGTTTTAAAGTGAAGGGACACATTAAGTCAAGGCATAAGACAGTGTGAAAACCTACGTGTGTGTAGAGAATGGTCTCTAGAGAAAAACATACAGAACATAACAATATAAATAGCATTAACTTTACTGTATTGGTGTTATAAATAAGCAATCTTTGCTAGTGACAGGAGGCTATAAATTGATCAGCATAAAGTAAAGTTTAAAGGAGGAATCAAATCATCATGTTATTAAGAATCTTTAAGAAGGTTGGAAAGATAGATAGCATCACTTGTTTCCTTACAGAAGACCTGAGTTTGATTCCCAGTGCCTACAGAATTGCTGCTCACAGTAGTCTATCATTCCAGTCCCTGGAGATCTAACACCCTCTTCTGACCTCTGTAGGCATCAGGCACATATGTGGTACACAGACATACACAAGAGCAAAGCACCCACGCACACAAAATTAAAAATATCTGTTTTTAAAGTGAATCTTTAAATAACTGAATATTAACAGGGTTTTGGAATAAGCACAGCAGCTATGAAATATTAGTGTGAGTTGAATGTAGTGGTACACAGCTTTAATCACAGAACTTTAGAGGCAGGCGTATTTCTGAATTCATAGCTAGCCAGGGCTACATAGTGAACCACTATCTCAAACAAATTTAGAATAGAAAAAAACATTGTGATTATTTTGCACAGCCTCCCTCCCCCCCCCTTTCGGTAGTTGATTAACACTCTGTGTTACTCTAATCACTCTGTGGTGGCAGCTGCACATTCCTCGCTACCTGTCACACTTATTCTGAGTTGCTGAATAAAAAACACACACACAGACATACACATACACAAACACACACACACACACTCAACCTTCTATTTTAATATTCCTTAATAAGCTCAATGACTGGGCCAATCCTAAACCTCCATGTGGCTAACACCTCCCCTCCCATACTTCTGAGTTATTACTTAATTAAAATCTATATTCCATCTTTGCTGCCTTAGACCCAATTGGTGGGGGCAGGGGGAGCTGGAGCTGCTCTTCACTGGCTCTTACAAGATTGCTATGCTCTCTCTTCTGCACTTCTCGGGCCTGGACCTGATCCTTTTCCAGCATGGTGATTCTAACTCCTTCTTCCTCTCCTGGTCCCCTTGCACACAAATGCTAAAGTCTCACCTCCTCTGTTTCCCTGCCCAGCCATTGGTCACTGGCAACTTTACTTACCAATCAGAACTAACTGGGGACAGGGACCCTCAGCATCTTATGTGAGGATTCTCTTGCAATTTTGGGAACCCAACTAACACAAGACAAGCGTTAGACCAAATCCACAACATCTCTCTATATCTATCCATCCATGTATCCATGTATCTATCTATCTATCTATCTATCTATCCATCTATGTATCTATCTATCTATCATCTATCTATCTATCTATCTATCTATCTATCTATCTATCTATCTATCCATCCACCTACCTATACACGAAGGTTCACATGAGGAGAGCCACCTTGCCTCAGTGTTAGCTCTCAAGTTAGAATCTCCATCAGACATTTCATTTCTATTATTTTGTCACTTTCCAATTTAACATTATAAAATTTCCCTCTTAAAGACTACTGTTATGGGAGAAATAGTGTTTATTTTTCCTAATTGTTTTACTGAGACACCTCCAATCGCTTTTCTCTCTAGAAGATCTTAATGCTCCCTTCTCCATTTGTCCTAGTCCTTATATTATTGGAACCATGAATCAGGGAGTCTCTTCGTCACCAAATTTAGAACTACATCACAACTTCAGGTAAGGACTTGAAAGATGTGTGTGTGTGTGTGTGTGTGTGTGTGTGTGCTCTTCTGTGCACATGATCTACTTTCTAATCATCAAGGTGTCTTGATGGCTGTTTTTCCATTTGGCTGCCCACAATACTTCCCACAGTGACCTGTGTCATGAGGATGATTCTTGCTTCCTGGAACTCTATTTAAGCCGACGTTCTGTGATCTTTAATCTGTAATCAAAAGTGTTTCTTTTCCTGCACACTACTTCCCTGGCTAAGAGAGAGCACTCTGCTTCTAAGTGAGGACTGTGAAGAGAGCTCCTATTTCAGGGTCTATGATTCTTCTACAGAAGCTCTCTCAGCATGTGTGGACCTACTTGCTCTCAGGAACGTCAGCTTCTAGGAGGCTCTCAAGTAAAATTCGCTATATTATAACTGTAATAGTAATGGATTTTCTAAATGCTTGCAGCATCAAACTGTGGCCATTAGTTAACAAGGGAATGTCAGTGCTTTATTACAATACAAGTTATGGAAATAAATTTTAGGTTTAAAAAAAAAACCTTGATTTTGTTTTCTTTTCTTTATTTGTAGGTGGGTACTATGTTCAAACCACACAGAGCCTGTGAAAGGCTTTTTAGGCAGGTATCTTCGAAGGAAGCTGATAGAAGTGGAAATTGAAAGGAATATACGTAATAATGACCTAGTCAAAATTATAGACTGGATTCCTAAGACGTGGCATCATCTCAATAGCTTTTTGGAAACACACAGTTCTTCTGATGTCACCATTGGTGAGTTTCAAAATTACAATAGTCCATTTTGCAGATGCTGAGAGTACTGGGTACAGGCGACTAGATTGGGTGGGAAAATCACAAGGAAAGCCAGTTCTTTCAAAGCTTCCAAAGATTCCAAGTTACTCTCTTGGTGGGCACAGTGTAGTTTGTTTTTCTATTCCTTCTTAAGGTTCATGTGTAGAAGGGCATTTCTCAGTGCCATAAAATCATCAAAAGATCCTCAGCTGCAGGCGGGAACTCTGTCCTAAGTACCAATATCTGTACTGATTCCACATGCTGCAAATAAATGATACCAAATTCTACAAATAATGGCTGTTTGTCATGAACTATTCATCTCTGTGTAACAGAACTCTACACAGTTTGTAAAACAGGACTAGATTAGGCACTTTGTTATATCTTATGAATCCATGTTATGCCTTAGATTAATATTTCATTGTTGAGAAAAAAAGAGGCCAGGAGGCCCTCTTCCATGAATATGTTTTCATGATTACTGGGCTATCCAAGTTAGGAATTTTCTAGAAATATGTTTGTTGTATTTCTCCAAAAGATATTATGTGTTTATATTAGTAAATGTAATGCTTCCTCAACATTGTATTGTTTGTGTCTTTTCAGGTCCTCGGCTTTTCCTTCCTTGCCCCATGGATGTGGAAGGTTCTAGGGTGTGGTTCATGGACCTTTGGAATTATTCCTTGGTACCTTATGTTCTGGAGGCAGTGAGGGAAGGCCTACAGGTAGAGTATTTGGCTTGTATTGTTGTGTAGCGAAATGAAGCAAATAAATAAATAAACATAGAAAGAAAAGAATAAAAGAAAAGAAAAAGAGGAAAGAAAGACAGAAAAGAAAAGCACATTATTTTAAAAAACAAAATCATTTATTTATTTGGCTACCTATGTAGAAAATTAAAGTAGGGAGGAAGAAATTTTCAGCAGTATGTTTGATATGTCGAATGTGCAGTAGTTTGTCTGTTAGAACAAGGCTGTTATTGTCTGTGTCTGTACAAAATGGAGTTCTCCCTACACTGTGCATTGGAGGCTAAGATTGTTGCAATGAGGGTTTAAAATATTCTTACTAAACAGATAATTAATTACACACTTATACATCTTAGGGCACAGACTATGGAAATGACACAGCTTTCCATTTCAATGACACAGTTTGCATTTCATAAAATTTCAAAAGTCCATTGTGCTGTGTACAATGTAAGCTGGTCTTTCAAACTTCATTTATTCAAAGAATTCATATTGTCACTTATGAAAACACAGTTATAGTAGGGGAATCATATTTTTAAATTTATATTTCAGTGAATTTATTTGCTCTCCAGATATAGTTTTCAGATTAATAAACTATTATCCTAGTCTTTATATGTCAAGTCTTATTTCATATTTGCTTGCTAACAAATAAAAAGCAACAGAAGCCTTAGAAGCCTCAAAGAAGTGATATATAAACTGCATAATTTCCTTAGATTTTAGTTTGGGAGATAAATGGACTTGTTTATATTAAAGTAAGTAATACTTGTGAAACTCTTCCTTGGTCATTATAAATGTGTAAAGCTTCCATTTGAGTGAGAGTTACTGTCGTTTAAAAATCATCATCTCTTAAACAAAAGTTCTATATGCCTCTGGCTTCTTGCTTTGGCTCCTGATGTTCCATACTAAGGTTAGTGTGAACGCTGAATCAGCTACCCTATACATATAGAGGATCAAGTTGTGATCCGGCATATGGATGAGGGAAGAAAAGTACCCTCTTAATAGATGTACAGTTCTTGTTGAAGTTGAAACCTTTACTATCTGAAAGAATTTAAATAATAGGAATCTGGAAGAACTCCAGCTGTGACCTCTAAAGCAGAAAAGGTCATATGCCATGCCCTCGCATCTACTAAGGTCAAAGGACCTTAACCTAGGGGAAGAAGTTCAGAAACAAACCTGAGTCTCTCTGGAGGAATGGAAAGGGAAAGTCATTTTTGGATGAAGGCTAGTGCCTGCTGGGAAGCCATATGGGAGATGCTCTCTGCCACATGATCCATTTGGAAGGGATGCAGCTGACACATTGTCTGAGTTATTCTCCTGGTGATCCCATCTTTCTTGAAATGTTAGTGATTAAATCTGCTCTTCCTGGGTGTTTAGATTTGTCCTCTTATGATATTCACTGTCTGTGTCCTGTACACGTGTGGTCCTAGTTGATTATTAAAAACTCACTCTGGTTGATTATACACACTCAAGTTCTTTTTAGGTCAATTCTGGCCTCCAAATTTTGTAAAATTAATACTAATACTACTACAAATAATAATAACTGTCTTGTTTTAGATTTACCTATTGTTTTTATTCTATGTGTATGAGTGTTTTGCCATAATTTATATATGTGTACCACATGCATGCCTTGTGCCCTTAGAGGCCAGAAGAACATGTCAGTTACTCTGGAACTTGAGTTCAGAAAGGCTGTAAGCTGCCATCTCAGCGATAGGCATTGAATCTGGCTCCGTTGGAAGAGTAGCCAGTGCTCTCCACTGCTGAGCCAGCCATCCTTTCATCCCCTAAACACAAACTTTTTATGAATTTTACATTTTTTCTTTTTAATTAGTTGTACGCATATCTTCATTTTGTATCCTATATTAAGCAGGTTTTAGCTGGGACAAAGCTTCCTACTCCAAAATGAGAACTATTTAGACAAAACAAACCAACCAAGCAAACAAAAGGACCCAATGGACAAAATAATCTTCAGATCTCTGCCTTTGTCACCTCTTCCAAAAGGAATATTGGTACTTAGATAATTCCATATTGTCATAGATTCAAAGTTTAATATGGTTTCCAGAGAAATCAAAAAGTATTCCATGGACTTGTGTTCACAATGCCTGTATTTTTCTTTTGTCTCACTGAACACACCATCATCACTGGAGAAACCATGCACAGCCCTCTGAGGTCATGACACTAAAGCACTTGATATCCACTCGGTGTCACAGGTCACAAGGGACACTTGCCTCTTCCTAGGTGTGGCATTTCTTCCCATGTTTTCCTGACCTTATTGCTTTCTTTACGAAAATCTCGCCAGTGTCTGTGCCCTCTGCAGTTTGATGTCAGCTTTGTTCTTAACTTGGGATCTCCTGGATCCTCCTGCTACTCTGCATCCCCCTGATGCTGCTTCACGCACTCTCTTACATTTCTTTTTTTTTTTTAATTGGGCTTATTTCTTTCCCATAGATTCTTACAGGATTCATATTTGGGTTTCCGTTTTTACCCCTCTTTTCTCGGTGCTCTTATTTATATACATATAAAATGCCTCCCAACAGGAAGCAGTGGACTAATGAGGTTATTCGAGGAAAATGGTTCTCACCGTACATTAATGAGAAAAGCCTTTCTTTCTTTAATTCATCATCTTTCCCAACATTTTGGTATAGAACTCCCTTTATTGTAAGGAACAGACTTTGTTTTTCAAACCTCTCCAAAATTTAGCTTTTGTTTATCAACCTCGAGGTGTTTGTTTGTTTGTTTGTTTTGTCTGCATTTGTAAAGTTATTCGTGAAATCAAATGTGTGCACTGATGTCTATATTCCCTCATAATATACCTCGCTCATGCTTTCCTCCACATTGGGTGCTCCCTTCTATTTTGTAGAGCTTTTCAATATCAAGTGATCTATATGGACAGACATGTTTAACATGGGTAATTCTCTTGAAATGTATGCAGGAGCTGAATGTGAGAAGACCTACTTGTTTACCATTCACTTTATTTTTTTTACCTAATAGAATTGTTCTTTATTTGTGGTGAACTTTTAGATGTACGGTAAACGTGCACCGTGGGAAGATCCCTCCAAGTGGGTCCTTGACACGTACCCATGGAGTTCTGCATCCTTGCCTCAGGAAGGCCCAGCATTACTGCAGTTGCGACCAGAAGATGTTGGGTACGAAGGCTGCACATCTACAAAGGAAGCCACAACGTCAAAGCACATTCCCCAAACTGATACAGAAGGGGACCCCTTGGTAAGGGATGTCTGATCATTCTTCCAATATATGGAGCCAGCCTAATAAGGGTAACCACTTAAACTGTTACCTTTAGCGCAATTTCCCTGGATGAAATTTTAAAAAACAACAACAAAACATGTTTAACTAAAATTAAAAAAAAAATGTAGGAAACCCTGAAACTGGGACAAACTTCGTGACTATAATTTTTCTCTGATTATACATTAAATTGTGTTAATATTTAAATAATTAGTATATTAAATATTACCACAATCTACTAGAGAAAACTGAAGTTTGTTCATAGATAATATAATCAAATGTACACAGAACAAAAACTATGTATTATATATTAGCTAGCCTAATTAAATACACAGTCTGTTGCTTTCAGTTTGGAAGGATAAACACTTTTGTTTTTAAGATTTATTTATTTTTATGTGCAATGTTGTTGTCTTAGTTAGGTTTGACTGCTGTGAACAGACACCGTGACCAAGACAACTCTTATAAAGACATTTAATTGGGGATGGCTTACAGGTTCAGAAGTTCAGTCCATCATCATCAAGGCAGTAACATGGCAGCATCCAGGCAGGCATGGTTCAGGAAGTGTTGAGGGTTCTACATCTTCATCTGAAGGCAGCTAGCAGAACACTGACTTCCAGGCAGTTAAGATGAGGGTCTTAAAGCCCACACCCACAGTGAGACACCTACTCCAACAAGGCCACACCTACTCCACTAGGGCCACACTTTTTAATAGTGCCACTTCCTGGGCCAAGCATATATATATAAAAAAATCACAGTTGTCTTATCTGCATTTATGTCTGTGTAAGGGTTTCAGATCTCCTGGACCTAGTGTTACAGACAGTTTGTGTACTGCTATGTGTGTGCTGGGAATTGAACTCCGGTACTCTAGAAGAGCAACCAGTGCCCTTAACCACTGGCCCATCTCTGTGACAACAGAAAGGGAGGTACTTTTACCACTTTCCTTATTGCACTAGTGCACATAATTTTAATTTTAGAAGCACTACAATAGTTTAAGTAAGTGTATAGAACTTTAAGATATGAAAATATTAAGTACATATTGTAATTAGGAATAAAACTGTTTTTAGTATGTCTGCTTTGTACACTTACAGTATTTTTCTAGTGAGAACCTCAAGAAGAAATCATTGCCCTGCTTGCTCAGTGCCAGAAGGTATAATCTAACACTAAACCTTGGTTCAGGTATATTCTGTTGTGAACACATCTATGCTATCTCTGCCTCTGTTTTCATGTATTTTTATAATCGCTGTTGGAAAGCAAAACTGTAGTGCAGTTAATCTAAATAAGAACTCCTAGTAGGAAAATTTCTACTGTCAGGAGTGTGGTTTTGAATCTTAACAGGGATTATATGTTCTGGTATGCTGAACATTATTTTAAAAAGTGAAATGGGCAGTCATCATCACAATGTTGAATCTTGGCACATGCATACTGAATACTAAGATCTAGTGATCAGAGTGGGAATCATTTACAGTCTTAAAAGGACATAGTCCGGTAGTGATGTGAGATGGGTGCCTGTTTAAACTGCCTACGATGTAGGAGACGTGGTAGGCAAAGTTGTGAGTCTGGTAAGGGACTTCACAGATGGCGTGGTTAAGCTGAATGTTGAAACAGGCATTGGCGATTTTCATGTGGTTGAATGCAGAGCCTCTAACACTGAGGAAATACCACACAGGACACTGCCAAGCAGAACAGTGAAAATTAAGAGTTAGAGGCCAAACATCCATTGGTTAGAAGAATTAAAATGATAGACTTATCCAACTGTAGATCACATTGAGCCATTTTATTTTTACGGGTAGTTAAAACTTTATCACACAGACTGTGGACAGCCAGTGGGTATTTCTGACTAGTGTTTATCCGTTTAGATTTGTAGTTGCTTAAGAGAGCAGAAGGCAGAGCATGGTGTTGGGGTAACGGTCAGCGTGAGACACACAGAAGGACATGTTAAAGGACATGTTAAGGACAGGATAGGCATTATCCTGGCTGTGTCTATATGAGAATGCAAAGGAGACCAGGGGATGCAGAAACTCTAGGCTGATCATAATGATAACTGAGTGATATGTAAACCTACCTCCTTTTTATAACATCTTTTGATTTCAATATATAAAAGAATAACCATTAGTCACAGAGTAAATCTCATTGGATGTGTTTATTACAGATCTCAGACTGAGAAATTATGCTAGTTTAACCTACTATATAGCACCATTTCTTTTATTTACTATTTTATGTATATGAATATTTTGCTTGTGTGTGTGTATGTGCACGTGCATGCATGTGTGTGTGTATGCATGTATACAACAGATGCCTGGTGCCCACTGGGGTCAGAGGATGTTGTATATTCTCTTTTAAAGTCAGGAGAGTTCTCAAACGCATTTCTCTTTATAAAGCAGCTTCAGCCTAATGCTTTAAGCTTCAGACTTTTTCACAAACTACTCTCATCTCATATTCTTGTGTAGGTGGTTTAATACACTGTAGGAGTTATGACTGAAAATGCTATTGGAAAAAAATGCCCTGGAAATTATCAAAATGATTTCAAAATACTCTATAACCATAGCCTCTTTGTTAAAATGACGTTCTTGCTGGAATTGATGATTACTAATTCATTGCTTATTTCCCAAGCACTTATTGAATACATGAAACACATGCTTTTTTACTGACATACAAATATCCATAGCCTGACCGAAGGCCAAGAAATCTTGTTTTAGATATCTTCTATTTCTCAGAGTTAAAAGATAAAAGACAGCTTTGATTGTTGCAGGGGAAAAAAAAACTATAGTTAGAATTTGGCACTAAGCAATATAAAGTTTATTGTACTGTTAGAAACCCTCAATAAGAAAACAAGTCCCCAACCCTCACGAAGACAGGCGCCAATTACCCTGTGCCTTCCAAAATTGTCAAGCCATCGATTTGCACAGTCTGCTTTTAAACATTCTTTTCTTCCTAGCTCCCGTCTCTAATAGTGGAACTGCAGATCTATTGAAATCCAAGCCTTTTCTTCTATAATACATTGGAGAGCTGTCTTCCCCCCAGGTACTCTCATGCACGAGTCCCCTCTACCGCAACAAACACTCCAATTCTCTTATGAAGCTGAGATGCTTGAGACAGCTGCTATTGTTCCAGGAGGTGGCTTTTGTTCTCAGTGATGTATCAATCATATTTCAGCCAGAGCCTCAGTGACAACAAACACTTGACAGTGATTCTTTCCTTCTCCTTCTTCAAATGCTCACGGTCTGCTTCCTCCCAGTTACTCCCTCTCTCGAGGTCAGCTCCTGAACAACAGATGGTGTGTGCTGTGTGTGTGCAGCAGCTGGCTTCATTCCAGTCCGTTGTCTCCTGCTTCTCTCAAGGGACCATGCTTGCAAACCTCTCTCTCTCTGTGTGTGTGTGTGTGTGTGTGTGTGTGTGTGTGAATGTTCACAACTTTCATTTGCCATTCAGTCCTCTCTTCTTTCTCGAAGCCAAATAAGCTGGGAAGCTTGGCTTGTTCTCCAACAACTAACCCAGATGTCCAGCTGTGATAGGGTTTCCTTTCCAGTTTCCCTGCTGAAGTAGCATTCATTCACAGCCCCACACAAAAAGAGATATCTTACGGCCCTATTTTGTTCTTCTGGATTAGAACTGTAGTTACATTTTGAGAGAAACAATTCAAGAGCCAGGTCGGTGAGTGAAAGCCCATAACCGTTATATGCATTTTCATTTGATTGGGATGAGCAGAGATAGTTCTCTGAGATGGCTCAGGGCCCCTGCTCATTCTGGGGCTGGCTGACTCAATGCATGGTTACTCACAAGTACGTCTCTTTTTCTTTCTTCAGATGAATATGCTAATGAAGCTCCAAGAAGCAGCCAATTACCCGGGCACACAAAGCTGTGACAGTGATAGCGTCAGCCACCATGAAGATATTTTGGATACTTCTATTGAATCCACCCTCTAAAGGGTGAAGGCATTAGGCAAAGGACGATGCTCTTCAAAAAGGTGTTTTAAAAGACAGGTCTTGTCATTAAACCACTGCCAGTATGAAAGCCCCCTGTCCAGGGCCCTGACCCAGAGTTGTGGTGTCCAAGGAGGCAGTAAAATTAGGTTGGAACTGCCAAGATGCTAAATTGAAATGGGAGCTTAAGTTTATTTTATTCCTAGGCATTTTTATAACCATGGAGTTAGCAACGGCTCCATTACTCGCCTGGAAAGAGCCCTAAAGACGGGGGCCAACAAGTAGATCACAAGTGAGATAGTGAGACTGGACTTAATTTTCTTCCTCTTTCAAAGTTTACAGTGCAGACCTAATTTTTCTTTCTTTTTTTTCTTTTCCTTTTTCGTGCCTTTCTTTTGTTTCCTCGGGGCCGAGGCTGCGCCTTCTCAGGCAGGATCTTTCCGATCCATGGAACCTCCTTTGTGCCACATGGTGCTGGTGACAGGGCCCCAGTAGAGTTTGTGTTGTGTGCTCACTCACTGCAGAATGAACCCAAGAGGCCAGTCCTCCGTAAGCACAAAGGGAATTGTGCACCCACCAGAAAATAAAAACGTCTGTATCAAACAGGAAGAGCCCCGCTTCCTTCTGACTGCCGCGCTCCTGAAGGGGCGCTTACCCTCTCTTAGGGTATGAGTCATGGGTTTTATAAGGTTGTTTTTACCACAGTGGTCTTTTCAAACCACCTGCCAACTCCCTGAACCAGAGTTTTATACCGATTATTAGTCAACACTGACAAAAGGCTTTTTAGGGCTTTATTTGTTTGAGCCTTTTCAGTGAAAGAAGGAACATTTTCTATGGTGCTGTCTCACTGCCTTAAACCAGATTTCTCCAACAGTTTCAACAGTTCGTTTCAATACTAAACCATTGGTAATTTCCACTGTCTCTTCATTTACAACCAAGCAACACACCAGTTAATGCAGCAGCCTCATTTTCTGTATGTCATCTTTTTTTTTTTTTATTTTCCTTCTCTTGAAGAAATGGATAGGAGAAAGATCAGTATTTTTATCTTATGAATAAAGAGATTTCTTTGCCTATCCTGCAAATAATTTGAGAACCATAGAACCCTTCTTTGGCCATCACTTAAATGCAGAGACATGTGGCTTCACTCCTCCTAGTTCTAAATGAAAGCATTTCGGAAGGTGGGAGATTCCTAATATGGATCCAGTTGAAACTTCAAGCACTGGATTCAGCATGAGCACAAACCATTTGGCTTTCCTTCCCTCGTGTTTATCTTTCAAAGACAAAAAAAATAAGTTAGGTTTTGGCGCATATCATTTTGAGTGCTATCGTCATACACGAGACATCCCGCATTAAGGAACGCTGATGTGGTCAGTCACTGTGGAAGAGGAAGCATTTATACTGTACAAGAAGGTTAGATTTGCACAGTCTACTGGGTAGGTATTGTAAATAATGATTTTTTTCCCCAAACTTGCACAAATTCAAAAACGAGACACAAACAAAAATTGTATTTTATCCTGTTGGTGTTAAGGGACGTCTCACCTGCTGAGGCACCCTGTATGCTGCAAGCAAATATAGAATGCAAATCCTCAAAGCTGTTATGATCTGGTGTGTTTGTCCTGTGCTTAACAAGTCGTGACAATGCAGGAGCCATCAGTGCTAGAGTGCGCATGCTTCAGAACTGTACACGAGGCCGGTACAATTTGGGATGAGTAACTGTCTGAACGTACATATCTCGTGGTGGGCTATAAAGACAGTGCGTGACAACTAAATCAGTCACTGGCAAAGGTACACCACCCACAGAGGACAGGTTCCAAATTTATGAAACCTAAAGTCTATGCCATGCTGCAGACGAAGCTCTGTGCGCCTTTTAGGACATGTTATTGGTGCTACCCTCTGTGACCACCTTTGGGTTGGTTTCCGTAGAGCAAAATTAGCAACACAAGGTATCTGTGCAGATTTCAGAATGCAGCTAAGTATATAGGTCCTTACACGGTGCTACTGCCCCGAGGGATATCAGACTGAACTTATGCACACAGAATTGTCACCCTGACTTTGGAACCTCAACTGTGGATCAAATCTATTGTACAACATCAATCTATGTAGCTGGATGAGTGACTAGTCGCCCTTGTATGATACGTGAGCTAAGGAATTTGCTCATCTTTCCCTGCCATTTCGAGACACACAGTCCACACATGAGCATAAAGAGAACTTCCTGCAATACATCCCAGTAGGTACACCTAGTTTACAATTTAAACTAGTTTGTGAAACATTTGTCTGTATACATTTTATATTTTGTACATTTTTTGATGTAACATATCATGTAAATATGAAGAAGCAGTGAAAGAAATCATCTGAAAAGTTTTGTAGTCTTTGTAAAGCCCCAACAATGAGTACTTGGTGTCCATGGATCTAACTGGATGATGTATTTTCTATTGGTTTATTGTTCCCCTAGCTTGTAAACCAGCTTGCATATATTTTTTTGCAAATGTGCACCCTGTATCTGTCTAAATTATTACTTTACCATTAAAGTGGAATTATTTATTGACAACAAGGTGTGGTGTCTATGTATGGGGACATTTTGAATCATCATGTGCAGGGACAGACACGTCAAGCTATAAAATGTTTCTTTACTATTAATATGCCATCATTAGGGATCTGCGTCAATCCAGATTTCATGAGCGTCATAGGAAGGGCTCCAAAGCTTTTAAGTAAATCAATTAAATAAATGCAGTATCTATGTAGCTCCTAGAGTGAAAGTTATTTATTCAGTGAATATTTTTTGAAAATTCTAAGTGGTATTCAAATATGCCTGATAGCAAAATACAGGTTAATATAAAAATAAAATGTCAATATTCACTGACTTAAATCAACTCATCCTGTGTTTGTTTTTATTCCATTAAGTTATCTGTTGGCCTTTTACTTCTAATAATGATTTTAAAGCAAAAGTAATTCTGTGTGAGTGTGTGTGTGTGTGTATGTGGGGTGTGTGTGTGTGTATGTGGAGTGTGTGTGTGTGTATGTGTGTGTATGTGGTGTGTGTGTGTATGTGTGTGTATGTGGTGTGTGTGTATGTGTGTGTAT